CCCCAAAACCCCAAAACCCCAAAACCCCAAAACCCCTCAGAAGGGATTAGGGATTGAACAAAAAACTTCTGGAATTTGAATTATTTATCAATTAGTATTTAACTCCATTCCCGGTTGGGGAATAGCAGAGGACCAACTAAAGAGAAGGTGTAGACTGCAAATGATCCCCACTGCGCAACTACTTTTATCCAGAAACTAAAATTATTGCTACGGAATAAGGTTGTTCTCTCATCATTAATTGAAGCATCTCCCCAATTTGTAAGTAAGACTCCATAATAAACACTTGCAAACATCATAAGAACATGGAATAAAATAGTTGGAATTGTAATAGGATATACGTGAGCTTCTTCTGCAGTGACTGTTTGAGTTCCAACTTGTGGAATGTCTTCAAGCTCTTCATCATTTTCCTCTTTCTCCACTAATGGTGAACTCATTACAGGAAGTTTTCCTTCATCTTCATCATTCTTTGTAATTACACTGATAGAGAATAGAGAGATCATTGTGAATACAAGTCCGAGACCGATTTGGTACAGTGTATTGGCATTAGATTTTGTAAAAGGATTACAATTTTCACTTGGGTGAGAAGACATTGCACTCCACGACAAGAATAATGCATAAGCCATTACCATAGCATTTGTCAAAATTGATGAATCTTCTCTAGTTTTCAAAGCAACAAGAACAGTGAAAATTATCCCAAATATAATTGTGATTCAAAGAATTATGATATTCAGAGCTCATCCTTTGAACCAAATAAATTGGAAGATTAAGAAAACAAGATCAAGAACATAAATGATAGCTGTGATGCCAATCATGAAGATCCCTGCTCAAGATCCCTCAGATTCTGCCCAATTACTAACGATTGCATTATTAATAACATAGGAAAGATTCAGAATTCATATTCCTTGATAGATCAAGAAGAATACACTTGCACCTCTAGCAAAATGCACATATCCTTCAAAGAATGGATTAGGGATGTAGAATGATGCTATAAATGAGCCAAAGACTAATAACCACTTGAATAGCCACCATCCATCATGAAATACTGCAGCGATCTGAGTTCTAGTGAGTCATATCAAGAACACAAGTACATGAAATAGCAGCAAAATAAAACTCATTCTGAAGACTGCAGACATCCCAAATCATGCTTGATTATCAGAAGGGCATCCAATAAATGAAATCCAGCTTGAAAATATTGGTTTTGCAGTAAACAGCAGAGCGAATGAAACAAGTATCCAAAAGAGCTGAAAAACCACATATCCGATTCTTGAGAATACTTTAGCTTTCACTCCTCAAGCCTTAAAGGCTCCTCATAAACAGTTTCAACAACATTGGCCTGCACAACAGGCTGCACTTGCAGCAAGTAGACACATTTATAAAATTATTATTAGTTATAGGATTCAATCTTATAAGTAATGATTGGGGTTTTGGGGTTTTGGGGTTTTGGGGTTTTGGGGTTTTGGGGTTTTGGGG